CGTTGACCATCGGGTCTCCGATGTTGACTTTTTTTTTTATAATTTTGTTTTTTCTTTAAAAAAAATATTTTAATTAATATTACTGTCTTGGCTGCTAAATTACTATCTTCGACAGTTATTTAACTGTCGGAGACAGTAATTTAACTGTAAATTGACTTTTTTTTTCTTCAAAAATATTTTAATTAATATTATTGTCTTTGCTACTAAATTACTGTCTCCAGCAGTTATTTAACTGAATATCAGTTTCTCTAAATCACATCACGGGGTGGAGACAGTAATTTAACTGTTAATTGACTTTTTTTACAAATATTTTAATTAATATTACTGTATTCGTTGCTAAATTACTGTCTCCAGCATTTTTTTAACTGTCAGAGACATTAATTTAACTGTTAATTGACTTTTTTATTCTTAAAAAAAATATTTTTAATTAATATTACTGTATTCGTTGCTAAATTACTGTTTCCAGCAGTTATTTAACTGTCGGAGACAGTAATTTAACAGTTAATTGACTTCTTTTTTTTTTGAAATTTATTTCTTAAAAAAAATCATTTTATTTAATATTACTGCCTTAGCTGCTAACTTACTGTCTCCAACAATAATTTAATGTTTTAGACAATAATATTAATAATATTACTCTTCGGGAAAATAATATTCATAATATTACTGTCCCAATAGTAATATTACTATTTGAGACAGTAATTTAGTAGCCAAGACAGTGATATTAATTAAAATATTTTTTTCTAAGAAAAAACAAAATTCAAAAAAAAAAAAAAAGTCAACGCCGGAGACCGGCGGTCAACCACCGGTCAACGCCGGAATCTGGCCGGAAAAAAAAATTCAGGAAAAAAAAAAAAAAATTAAAAAAAAAAGTCAACGCCGGAATCTGGCCGGAGAAAGAAAATTCAGAAAAAAAATTATTTTCATAGAAAAAAAATAATTTGGGGGTTAATGTGATATATTTGTTTAAATCCGGGGTCAATGTGTAATATTAAGGAAGTTAGTGCATCATGAATGGAATTGATAAGAATTATATCATGGAGGGTATTTTAGACTAAAGATATGGTGATGAGTTTAATTGAGAGACTATTTTTTATGGACCAAAATGCATTTAAGTTCTATATGATAGACCTTTTTGCCATTCGCCCTTAAATAAAATGATGAATTTAATGGAACCAAACCGGTCGCTTCATAAAGGTAAAGGTAAGGACTTGTAGGTATATTACAAGATGGCTTAATAATATTTGTTTATTTTTTGTTGTTTTATATATAATATAGTAGCCATGTGTTTATGGAACCAATACCCGCAGTTGTTGAAGATATTAGGTTAATAATATTTGTTTATTAAAAGTTGTTTTTATATTTGCCATGCTTCAGGAGTGTGGAATTAAATATAAACATACATGTATTATGTATCGACCATCTTATAAATTTGATGGAAACGAATACCAATTGGAGAAGTATACCAAATTAAACATCATGGATCATTTGTATGTAGTAGCAATATTATTTTCTGTGTTAACTCTGTCATTGTCCTCCATTTTCTGCTACTTGAAATCCTTCCTTAAAAAATCTCCTCATTTGCCACCCGGTCCACGTGGGCTTCCAATCCTCGGATATTTGCCGTTTCTCGGCAAAAATTTTCTCCAAACTTTCACCGATTTAGGACACAAATATGGTCCAATCTTTAAGATTTATCTCGGTAACAAACTTTGTGTTGTGATAAGTTCACCATCCCTTGTGAAAGAGGTGGTTCGCAACAAAGACGCGATTTTTGCTACTCGTGACACTACCGTCGCGGCACTCGTTTCCTTTTACGGCGGAAAAGACATAATTTTCTCCAATCCCAATTCCCATTGGGTTTTGATGAGAAAAATATTTATTCAAGAAATGATGAGTCAAACGAGCCTCGACCTCGAGGCATCGAACGCTCTCCGTAAGGACGTGGTCAGAAAGGCCGTCAGATTCGTGCAAGCCAACATGGGGAAGCCCATTCAAATTGACCATTTGACTTTCCAAACATCACTTCATCTCGTGACGAACATGATGTGGGGCGGGATAGTGGAAGGGGAACTAGGCGCAAAAATCGAAGCAGAGTTCTTTGTCCTAGTCTCGAAGATTCTCGATTTGTTGGGAAAGCCAAAGGTTTCTGATTTATTTCCAGTTCTTGCCAGGTTTGATATGCAAGGTATAAAGAGACAGATGGAGGGTTACATGCAATCCGCGGACACGATTTTTGAAGCCGTTATTGCATAACACAAGAACAAATCGTCCGGAGAAATCAAGAGAGAGGCCGGAAGGAAGGACTTTCTCCAAATCCTGTTAGGCCTTCAAAAGAGTGAAGATTCGGCCGTGTCAATTAGTCATACAACAATCAAGGCCATGTTAGCCGTACGTATTCTAAACTCAATTAGGAAATAAATTTGATTATATTCGGCGACTAACTATCGAAATTCTAAATATTTGTTATCTTATATAGGATATCGTGGGAGGCGGGACTGATAGTACAACAAGGACAGTTGAGTGGGCAATTGCTGAGCTAATGAATAATCCCGAGCTCATGAGCAAGGCGCAAAAAGAATTATCCGAAGTAGTGGGATCGAACAACATTGTCGAAGAGTTCCATATTCCGAAATTGAAATATTTGGAAGCAATTATCAAAGAAACACTTCGCTTATATCCACCGGCACCCATCCTGATTCCCAAGTCGCCTACCGAATCTTCCACAATCGGGGGATACACTATCCTGAAGAATACACGGGTCTTTATAAATATGTTGGCCGTCCATAGAGACCCTTGCATTTGGGATAGTCCAATGGAATTCAGGCCGGAGAGATTTTTCGAGGACGACGGAAATTGTGATTTTAGAGGTAACCATTTTCATTATCTTCCGTTTGGATCCGGGAGAAGGATTTGTACTGGAATGCCTTTGGCAGAAAGAATGATAGCTTATTTTTTGGCTTCACTTTTGCATTCTTTCAATTGGAAATTGCCGCACAGGGAAAAACTTGATATGTCCGAGACATTCAGGATGGTCCTAAGGAAAAATACACCACTTGTTGGGATTCCGAGCTCCAGGTTATCTCATTCATACTTATATGTGTAATTGCAAATTTGTAACTTTTTATTTCCAAAAGTATGTGTTGGCGCCAGATTTCCGAGTATTGAAGATCGAGGAAATCTGCTGAGTTTTGGAATTAAAAGATTGGCAAAGATTTGTTTTCCATGTTTATTTTGGAATTTATTAGAGTCATATTTTATAATGCTTCTATTAGGACTTAGATTTATTTCCATGTATTTTATTCTAGTTAGGTATCTTTTGTACTTATCTAGAATAGAAGTAGAGATCAACTAGGATTCTATTACCTAGTTAAATAGATTTCTTAGGGTTCAAGTTAGGTCTTAGGGCTTATTTTCGTGGCTATATAAGCCTCCAAGACATACAAGAACCATGCGCATTATTTGGAAGAAAAACCACTTCATAGCGTCGAAGGTTTGCTAAGGCGTTCTGCGGAGCAGGACTGTGCCATCGTTGCACTGTGCCATCGTTGTGTGTGCCAATATATACAGATCTGCTGTATAGATCTCAAGGGAGATCAGCCGCGTTTCTGAAGGGAGTTCAGGCCTGAAGGAAGTTCGAGGCACGCGGTGTGGTGCTGTTGTTGGAAGAAACACGGAGTTCAAGTTGTGTACAAGAACGGCATATTACATAAAGAGGGAGTCTTTAGTGTTTTTAATAAGTCCTATTAATGTACACTGTAAATCTGAACTAGTTAAATCGTGTTTGCAGGTCCACGTGGATGTAGGGCACATTTGTGTCTGAACCACATTAAATTCTTGTGTTTGTTTACTCGTTTTCAGTAGTTTATAACTGTGTTAACACAAGAATTGTAGTTGTAACTGCATACTGTTCCCACAACAACTGTTACAACTTCGGTTAACAGATTTTCATAGGCATTTAAAATCAACAATTGGTATCAGAGTCGGTCACTAGATATACTTAGTGTCTGATTTTGGGAATTTGATTTATTTGCTTTACTTGTTGTAGGATGAGTATTCACAAGGAAGGCAGTTCAACTACACGACCCCCGTTGCTAGATGGAACGAACTATACGTATTGGAAAACCAAGATGAAGATGTTCATCAAATCAATGGATGAAGATTCATGGGGTACAGTTCTAACAGGGTGGACGAGACCAGTGGCCAAAACCAGAGAAGGTGTTGAGTATGAAAAACACGAAGAAAACTGGAGCAAGAAAGAACAGGCAGTGGCAAATACCAATTCAAAGGCTTTAAATGCTATATTTAATGCGGTTGACACCAACCAATTTAAATTGATATCTGGTTGTGAATGTGCCAAAAGGGCATGGGATATTCTTCAAACTGCGTATGAAGGAACAGCCTCTGTAAGACTGTCAAAACTCCAGATGCTTGCCACTCGCTTCGAAGATCTTAGAATGAAAGAAGATGAGACTGTAGCTGACTTCAATTCGAAGTTGTGCGACATTGCTAATGAAGCTCATGGCCTTGGAGAAACATATTCTGAAGAGAAACTTGTGCGCAAAGTTCTAAGATCTCTTCCAGATCGATTTGCATACAAGATAACTGCAATTGAAGAGGCTAATAATGTTGATGAACTCCATCTTGACGAGCTCATAGGAAACTTGCAAACATTTGAGAACAAGCTGAGTATGAGTAGAATGGACAAAGAAAGAAATTTAGCACTGCAGTCAACCGATGTTCCAACTTCTGTTGTTCCGACTACTATTGTTTCCACTCCTGATGCACCAACAGTGTCTGCTGTTGAAGCAGAACTAGTCAAATTAATGGCACGTATTGCTGAAAATTTTGATAAGATGGTCAAAGTAAATGAGAATCCCTCAAAGGCTGACACACGCCTCAAGAAAAGAAGAATTCAGTGTAAAGAATGTCAAGGATTTGGTCATACTCATTACGAGTGTACCAATAGACTAAAGAAGCGGGGAAAATCTGTTACTACTGCCAAGAGTGATGACATGAAAGACTCCAATGAGGAGGAAGACAAAAAGGATGGAAACCTTTTCTGTGGAACTAGCACGATTATTCAACCAATATCTGAGGCTACAGTGCCTGTGCAGACATCCGTCAGGTATGAACATTCTTTGTCTGATCACCTTGTTAGTCTAAACTCTTCTTTTAATACAGGTGAAACCAGCTCAGATGATGAAGAGGAGATTACTGCAGAAATGATTCAGCAACAACAAGATGAACTGCTCAAAACATGTCTTGCTGTAGATGAAATGAATAAGGCCTTGAAGACACAAGTTGCTGAGCTCGAGAAAGATAAAGAGGTACTTTTGTTCAAATTGAATGCTGCTACAAAAGATGTTGAGAAACTAAAACAACAGTTAAATTTAAAAAAATCTCAACCTCCTGCGAATAAGAAAAAGCATGTGTGTAAGTTTGACAAAAAGGTTGATCCTAAAAACACTTTTGTGAAGAAAATTGATTGTCCTAACAATTCGCATGTCTTAACAAACCAAAAGTTTTCTTGTAAAACTAATGGAAAAAAGTATGTTCCAACTTGTCACTTCTGCCATAAATTGGGTCACATCAGACCAAAATGTTTTTTAAGATGGAAGTTGATAAATAAGAGTTTGTCACAACATTTACCCGATTCCGCTGTGTTGCAACATGCTCCTAAGATGGGACACTCTGATATAAAACAAAAATGGGTGAAAAAAGATGACATTAATTGTTTTTCCGCTGCAACTACTCTTAATGCTTGTGCTAGTAACTTGTGGTACTGTGATAGTGGTTGTTCTAAGTATATAACAGGTAATCCGAAGCACTTGAAGGACTATCAGAAATGTGCAAGTGGACATGCAACTCTTGGTGATGGAACTAAGAAACAGGTAAGAGGTAAAAGCACTATTAATCTTGGTAGAGATCTAGTTGAACAAAAGGTTGTGTCAATAGATTGTGTGTCAACAGATAATCAATTTGTTGCTTCTTTTACAAAATCTTTAGATTCCCCTCGATTTGATTCCTTGCATAAATCGCTTGGAACTTGCTGTGTTCATAAATGAACAATGAAATGATAGTGTAACCATCCTTCTGTTATGTCCGGGTTACACTTGAAAGTTTGATAGGACATACTGAGTTACCACACATATCTTGTGGTACTATGTTTCAGCCTTTGTTGATCCTTGTTTTACTTTGAAAGGTTTGATTGTTTATTCTTGTTATCTGAATTTGGGTCGATAATTTTTGTGGATTAATTTTTTGTTCCTGCGAGGACTCTAGATAGAAGAGAGCTGCCACCCTCTATCGGGAGTGATCAATGCCTATAACCTCATTCATCTCAAAGATCATACCTCTATTGGGAGAATTATGCTACCGCATATGCATCTCTGACTTCTATTTAAAAGCTATGTGGATTCTCAAGGAGGTTGCCCTCCTAATGTTTGCTTGAACATCATATCAACAAAAAAAGGAGAAATAGTTCGAATTCAAAAAAAAAAAACAAAAAAGGGAGAAGAAAAATAGCCCGAATTTAAAAAAAAAAAGAAGGGAGAAGAAAAATAGTCCGAAAAGTTGGGATGATATTCAAGCATATATTAGGAAATTCTCTTTGAAGTCCACGATCGAATTGTTGTACTAATCGCATACGCATTCATAACCTTAAGAAATTTACCTAAATTATGGTTTCTTGAGTATGGTCATGGGGCTATAGGTATATCGTGCATCCAAGAGCTTGTTGATAGCATTTTATCTAGTTTCTTTCAATGTTCTTTTAATTAATCTTTGAAAAGAATCTTCCTATTTGGCTAACTTGGTCTACTTGATTTCCTTCATTTTTCAAACTTGGTTCATGCTTGGGCTGATGTTCTTTAGTTTTTCGAAAATATTTTAAATTCCAGATTTATGAGGATTTTCGAATTAAGGGGATCTAGATATTTTGTATTTTTTGCGGCTTACCTTATTTGCTGACTACATGTCTTAACAGACCTTTGTTCTAACTACGACTCTAAGTCTATCTTTGGCACAGACTGATCAGAAAGGGGGAGTAGTAACAACATCTGCCGTAACAACTTGCGTTGTGATTTCCTGCGCTTTGAATATTTTTGTTTGATATGTCATGCGTTTAAGTTTATATTCTGATATTGGAGAGGAACATTTAGTGTCCTAACAGTCTGTGTTACAGGGGGAGTATAGCTCTTCTGCAGGGGGAGTAGTTCTATTTTGCAGGGAGAGTTCTTGTTAAACATGGATTCTGACCAATCAATGCCAAAGGGGGAGATTGTTGGCGCCAGATTTCCGAGTATTGAAGATCGAGGAAATCCGCTGAGTTTTGGAATTAAAAGATTGGCAAAGATTTGTTTTCCATGTTTATTTTGGAATTTATTAGAGTCCTATTTTATAATACTTCTATTAGGACTTAGATTTATTTCCATGTATTTTATTCTAGTTAGGTATCTTTTGTACTTATCTAGAATAGAAGTAGAGATCAACTAGGATTCTATTACCTAATTAAATAGATTTCTTGGGGTTCAAGTTAGGTCTTAGGGCTTATTTTCGTGGCTATATAAGCCTCCAAGACATACAAGAACCGTGCGCATTATTTGGAAGAAAAACCACTTCATAGCGTCGAAGGTTTGCTAAGGCGTTCTGCGGAGCAAGATTGTGCCATCGTTGCACTGTGCCATCGTTGTGTGTGCCAATATATACAGATCTGCTGTATCGCGTTTCTGAAGGGAGTTCAGGCCTGAAGGGAGTTCGAGGCACGCGGTGTGGAGATGCTGTTGGAAGAAACACGGAGTTCAAGTTGTGTACAAGAACGGCATATTACATAAAGAGGGAGTCTTTAGTGTTTTTAATAAGTCCTATTAATGTACACTGTAAATCTGAACTAGTGAAATCGTGTTTGCAGGTCCACGTGGATGTAGGGCACATTTGTGTCTGAACCACATTAAATTCTTGTGTTTGTTTACTCGCTTTCAGTAGTTTATAACTGTGTTAACACAAGAATTGTAGTTGTAACTGCATACTGTTCCCACAACAACTGTTACAACTTCGGTTAACAGATTTTCATAGGCATTTAAAATCAACAGTATGTTCTTGTAACGGTAATTTGTGTTTGCATTTAAATTTTTA